GCGGTGGCCTGCTCACGGCCACCGCCGCCTCGACCTGCCGGGTTCCGGAGATCCTTCTGCCTCAAGCGTCCAAGGAGTCGAAACGGCCGGCGTGTGGCCCCACGCCCGTCTCATGTTATTTTTTTAATCGGAGAGACGAGGGCTCGCCAAGTTGCCCGGGCGGGTCTCGACCCCGCGGGCTCGGGCAATCCGCGCGCCTCCGCCTCCCACAGTGTTGGGATTCGAGGCGCGAGCCACCGCGTCCGGCCTCTACACACGACAGTTTTGAAAAACAGAAGAGCCAGCCGGGGCAGCGTAGCGAGACCTCGCCTCTATTAAAAAAAAAAAAAATTAAAAACTCCCCAGGAGTGGCGGGGCGCACCCGGAGTCCTGGCTGGCGACAGGCTGACGCGGAAGAAAGGCCTGAGCCCAGGAGGCCGAGGCGGCGATGGCCGGCGACCGGGCACCCGGACTCCCGCGGCGGCGACAGAGAGTCTCCGACACAAAGAGAAAGAAAGGCCGTTCCAGGAAAAAACAAGATGGTGGTGAGGCATCATGAGGCTTGGAGCCATCCTTGTGACAGAAAGAGAAACTGAAGCTGTGGACTGACCCCTTGGCCAAACTCTAGGAGGCTCCTCTGAGCCCTTTCTCAACCAGGCCTAAGTGCGGCTTAGCCTATAAAAACTTTATTTTGTAAGTCGGAGTCTCACTCTGCGCCCAGGCTGGAGTGCAGTGGCACACTCACGGCGACCCCAGTGTCGACCTGCTGGACTCCGGCGATGTATAAAGACTTTAATAAACACTAACAATTTCTAACAGCTCAAGGCCACATCCCTATGGTGACCCTAGCCCCTCTTAAGGTGCCTACGAAAGCTCAAGGCTGCAGAATTTGCAGTTTACTCTGGCCAACCCATGAGGATAGGGCCTTTGTCTTCCAACTGTGTGGGAGGTTAGGATCCTAATGTCCATAAGCACCAGTTAGCAAACCCAGATGGCTTTCACATTGACCAACGCCTTTTCCTCTTTTTTGTCACTTTTCACTTCTCTGACTCTACTGAAGTCCCGCTCACCCCCTCCCCATTCCCATATTCTCCCTTTAAAATGCCCAATACAAATCGAAGCTGAGTCCGGGTCATGCTGGACCCTTTACCCCGTTGCAATAGTTATTACTGATTAAAATCTGTCCTTACCACTTTAACTAGCATCCAGTTTTGTTTATGACAGTACCCCCAAGGTCTTGTTTAATTTTTTCCTCAGATTCTGGCCCAGAGCCTCGACACACACAGGTGCTCCTGAATAAAAACTATTTGTAGTCTAATCCTGGACACCTGGCACTTGTCAATTCCTTGAGAATCGGAGCTTGCCTCCCATCCAACCCAGGTGGGAGGAAGGGTCTTTGCTGTGTCCATCTCATTTCTCACAACACACTGAAGGGCACAGGCAGAGAAAGCCCTCTCTCGGTCCCTTCCTCCCAGGCTCAGGCGCCACCTCGCTAGGTACGAGACCCCCGGGTCTTGGCCCTCGGGGCCCTCGTCCTTCACTTCATGGCGCCCTTGCAGTTCCAGGTTCGCACCGGTCTGACCTGCTTCCCATGAACCTCTGCTGCCAGCGCCCGCAGGGGTGTCTGCCCCTACCCAGCAGCCCTCGCGCGGCTCGGCACAGCGGAC